ATCGATGCTAGTGCCCCTTGAACGTCCTGCCAGCCAAGGGTTTTCCTTTTTCTTTGCACAAGGTGAGATGTCTTTTGTGACATTCCGGGTGTCCGTCCTGACCCGGCCCGATGGATGGTTTCCTGTGGCCTGCCAGGTTACCGTCCTAGCCTCTTAACTCGGAGCAGTGACATCAGGCTACTGGTAGAAACCATCACCATAACTCTTAGAGAAAACCCTGTAGAAATCCAAGGAGGAAAAAAGAGCTTCCTGGGACATTCTCTACAGAGTTTCTAGAAAAATGCACATTGAAAACAATGTCTTAAAGAGGGAGAAGTTGAGAAAGCAAACAGTATAATTTTAAACAGTAGAATATAATTTGTAAAAACTATGCTAATGAATGCTCCAAATCCCCAAAAAAGTTCTTACTTTTCAATAAGCCAATGACATTTTCACATTAATTTAAAGTACTACATGTAGTGAAATGTGATTTAAAATCCCTCTTGAGGCTCTATCCCCAGTGGTGGGGGGGAGAGGAGCAGGGGGGCATGCATGACCAGCCAGTCAATGATTCTCTCTCGTCATTGATGTGTCTATCTCTCCTTCTCCCTTCCTCTCTGAGATCAATAAAAATATATTAAATAAATAAATAAATAAATATAAATTCCCCCTTGCAACACACACACAATGGGGAGAAGTATCTTCAGTGCACACCTGATGAGTGGAAAAGCTCGCCTAAGAAACTTAATATCTATAAGGACCTGATTCCTTTCCAGATTTGAATATTCTTGGACCACAGAAAGGCATCTTTCTTTAAAAGTGAGTTCTCTATTAAATCCTTAATGTATTCGTGTGTGTGCATGTGTGAGTGTGCCTGCGTGTGTGACTGTAGGTGGATGTACTTGTAGCTTTGTTGTCATGGAATCATGCCTCAGTATTCTAACAAGCATGCATTTGGAATAGGCGGAGAGGGCGATGTTCCAGGGATCCAGGAGGCCGGCCAGCATTGAGATAAGGCCCTGCAAACGACAGGCAAAGAACCCGGAGGAGAAGCTCTGAGATATTCTCAGCTTCAGGCTGGATGTCCAACGGCCTGAGAGGGCAGAAAAGGTGAGAAGGTCCTGATTCAAGACATATAATCCTCCCAAGGCTGAATCTGATATGATACAACTTCATATTTATTTTCGCTGGGATGTTTTGCAGGATTAGGGCAGTGAGAGAGACTAAGGAAGGAAATATGATATTATTCGTGCTAGTAGATATTTTATAATGGTGAATAAAAACAAGAGTATGCACTTATAAGTTAATCAAATACTTCAGTCTGGCTTAAATTGCTGTAGGTAATTTTATTATTTAATCACAGGATGCACAACATAGCTCTTAATAATGTGCTTTTGTAACTTCTAAGAAAATGTTCAATTGCGATCTGTTCCTTTGCACAGGAAGACATCAACAAGAGAAGTAGAATTATCATTTATAGGTGATGCATCCTCAGGTTGTAAGAGCTCAACAAGCAGAGGAACCACAAGTGGATGGCGGGACAGTAGATGTACAAGATGTATTTGATGTACCATTTGCCAAGGAATCATGCCAAGTAAGTGTCACTAGAGTTCAGAGGGAGAAAGAGTGGGGGCGGGGGGTCTGGTGAGGATGAGGTGTTCAGGAAATCACGCCCCGACCCGGTCTAGAAGGAGGCGGCTTTTACAGAGCACTAGGCTGCTGCCTTGCTTTGGAGAGGGACAGCTGACATCTTGATTGGAGGATGAGGTGTGCAGGAAATCACCAATAAGGGACAATACAGAGATACACCCTGACCTGGTCTAGGAGGAGGCGGCTCTTACAGAGCACTAGGCTTCTGCCTTGCTTTGGAGAGGGACAGCTGACATCTTGATTGGGTTCTTTGTCCTTTCTAGAATCCCCCTCCTATTATTTAAACAACCAGGTTTGCAAGATAGAGATCTCAAAGCTTCATAATATATCAATAACTTACCATTTTGCTTTATAAATGAAAAATAGATTCCCAAATCTAAGCTCCTTTAGTATTGCAGTGGTGGAACTCTGAATTATTAGTTGCTGGATGGTTTGTTTGTTTGTTTTTTCTAAAATAAAGAATTGTTTTTGAGAAAATGACTTTTTGGGTACCACTGAAAATTTTGTCCTACTTAAAACACAGAATTTACACATTAACCCTGAAGATTCCTAAAGGAGAAAAGAAAAAAAAAACACACAAAACAAACAAACAAAAAATACAGGAAGAAGACTCAAGATGAGAAATCTGAAGCCATGACCTAAAAATTGCATGAAATGGAATGTTGTGTAATAGAATAAATCAGGATTACAACTGGCGAGACTCATGCGATTCCTAACAGAATATTAAGCTGGTTGGCTTTGAACTACTCTTTCCTTTCCTTCTTCAGTGTGGCTGACGTAAACTTAGATGTGGTTTTGGGGCTATGATTTTTGTCCTCTCGAAACATTGTGATTTGGGTTTTTGTTGTTGTTTTTCTTTTTGCCGATCTCTTGTTGGATATTGAAGTTGGCCTTGATGTTGCTCAGATGGGAGTTTCCAGGAGGCTGGCCCTGCTGAACTACAGGCTTGTGGCTGCTTTCCTTCCTGCATTGTTTGCTTAGCTTATTCTATAGTCTCCCCTGCTGTTTCGTGACCTGGGTGCAGTTTTGTTTCATGGGTTTTCTTTTTAAATGATAAAGATTAAGAACAAGAGAGCATAAATTTCCCAGGCACCAAAACGGACATAGACATAAACAGGCCTGGGACATTTAAGAAGACACCTCCACTCAGAGCAACTGAGTACAGTCCGAATGGTCTGTATTCCTCTCCTTGCCTCATTGAAGGCTGCTGAATAAATCACATATTTCTCTCACCTTGTTGTGGGCCAAGAATGTGTCTCCTTTTATACCTTATAAAATGGCTAGCCCCCGCCCCCCAACCCCAATTATTATTTCCTCTGACTTTATTTTTTCTTGCTCGCTATCATAGTCCTCTGCAGCACATGTGTGGGTAAATAGGATGCCAGGTGAAGTTCAACGTATTTGCTGAAAACAAAAAAGCAGAAAAACACCCCGGGACCGGGGAAACCTAGTGTATCTCAAAGCTTGTTAGAGCTGGAGTAGTAATATAATTTATACTTTCATAAAAGAGTCTTGTGGTGAGTCTGTATTGGCTTGTGACCATGTTTCCATTGCATGAATCAGTTGAGATAGGAGAGCACATTTTTGGTGCAGAGGAGAATGTACCACTGACTGATGGACTGAAATGAATTGTCCAGAAAAGGCTTTGTTTAATGAGGGTTTTTTGGAAGGGGGGTATCACAGTGAGGTGTGCATAAACATTTATTACAAGGGAGAGGGTGTTAATAAAATGTATTTAATACAACATCAGTTGCTGCTCTAAAACATTAATGCCAACCTATATTATTGTGTTTCAATGATACATTAAAAAAAAACCCCACAAAACAACGAATAAAATGCCAGAATAAGATTGATGCAATACTCACAAAAACTAAAACTCTCTCATGAATTTAAAACATACAGGACTTCCTTTGTATAGAAAAAAAATAGTAATACAAACAATTACATGAATAAAATCAATCTTTCAGGTTTAACTTCCAAATGCCCACTTTTATCTGAATGTGGAAAAAAAAAGCTGGTAGAAATTCTCTCTCTCTACAGAATAACATAAAATACACAAACTTTCCTAGAACAAGATCCTGCTGTAGCCAATTCTACCCCACTGGCTCGTCTAGTTACCTCAATCTGAATAAGAAACGCTGTTAAATTTAACAAAGAACATCTGGTTTTCATTTGAGGTACATTCAAGTGTTCATTAAAGTGTCCTAACTGCTCTTTTCTTTTTCTATTTCACAATGGCTTTCCTTTCTAATACCATTGCAAGTTCAGCACGGGACTTAAAAAGCCTCAGCGTCACTGTGGCATTTCCTTTGAAAAATGCCAGGAGAAACCGGGAGAAAGCTGAAATCCCTAAGTTTAATAACATTTTACTACCATTCACCTTTTCCATACTTCCTAGGGGTGTTTATTTTCTACAATTATTCAACTAGACTTCACTGAGCCCGAATGCCCCAGGGGCCCTCGGTCCTGTCTGCAGGGAGGCCCAGGAAAACTGAGCTTGAAAGTGAGTTATTGGTATTAGCCCCTTTGATGGAAGGATTTGGTCACCTTCTATAGGAGGGAAAATCAGTTCAAAATAGTTCCAGTGGAATGCCTCAGACAGCTTCGTTCTGCCAGACTCATTTGCATATATAATTTATCCTGAATGTCAAAGTCATCATTTTTCAAACATTTCCTTTGTTTTCTTGAAAGTGTAAGCTCATTGAAATTAACAAATAAACTTGGACACGTATTTCCTTGAAGGAAAATAATTTTTAGATTTATAAGGCATATCTGACAGATTTTCCTCCATAAATTGCATCTAACTACAACCAATGCCATTTTCATTTTAGTAAATGATTAGAGATATTTAATCACCCAAGTACACATTTAAGTTGATTTGAAAAAGAAAAAAATATTTTTAAGCACACTTAAAAATGAAGCAGCCAGACATGGAGAAGCCAGACGGTAAGAACAGAATCCTCGTCAGTGCAGTCCAAAGCTACCTGTCCCTTTAAGACCAAGCCCAAAAGGTACAGTGGGAGAAGATAAGAAACAACCAAACGCCAGACAATTAGAAATAAACTGGAAGAGAAGAGGAAGCTGAAGCAAAACCCGCAGAGCCTAAGAACATGGGACGAGAGCACTTGGCTTTAACTATGTGGGTAAGGCCTTTGCAGATCAAGGTAGACACCCCCAAATGTCTAGGACATAAGAGGAAATTTTCTGTCTAGCTTTGATAGTTATGATAGCTTAGAATGTGATATCTAACTAGTCCTCTCACTAGTATTAACTCAGATACTAGACAGGAAATCTATTCATTCCTATTGGTTATGTATGTGTCATGTTCTCAGTCCTCTCTGTTAAGTGCAAAGGGAAAAAGAAAGGCAGAGGGCCGCGTCGGGGTGCAGAAGAAGATGGCGGTCTCCACAGGAGTTAAAGTTCCTCGTAATTTTCGCTTGTTGGAAGAACTTGAAGAAGGACAAAAAGGAGTAGGCGATGGTACGGTTAGCTGGGGCCTTGAAGATGATGAAGATATGACACTTACAAGGTGGACAGGCATGATTATTGGGCCACCAAGGACAAATTATGAAAACAGAATACATAGCCTGAAAGTAGAATGTGGGCCTAAATACCCAGAAGCTCCTCCGTCAGTTAGACTTGTAACCAAAATTAATATGAATGGAATAAATAATTCCAGTGGAATGGTAGATGCACGGAGCATACCAGTATTAGCAAAATGGCAAAATTCATATAGCATTAAAGTTGTACTTCAAGAACTAAGACGTCTAATGATGTCCAAAGAAAATATGAAGCTTCCACAGCCACCAGAAGGACAAACATACAACAATTAATTTTAGTGGATCTCAAACTTGTCTTAAATCAACAATCTTCTACTCATGTTAATGTCTTGATTAAATATCACAATGCAAAATACCCACACATTAAGTAAAAGAATGCCAGCTGGTACCAAAAGGTACAGTGGGAGAAGATAAGAAACAACCAAACGCCAGACAATTAGAAATAAACTGGAAGAGAAGAGGAAGCTGAAGCAAAACCCGCAGAACCTAAGAACATGGGACGAGAGAACTTGGCTTTGACTACATGGGTAAGGTCTTTGCAGATCAAGGTAGACACCCCCAAATGTCTAAGACATAAGAGGAAATTTTCAGACTAGCTTTGATAGTTATGCTAGCTTAGAATGTGATATCTAAATAGTCCTCTCACTAGTATTAACTCAGATACTAGACAAGAAATCTATTCATTCCTGTTGGTTGTGTATGTGTCATGTTCTCAGTCCTCTCTGTTAAGTGCAAAGAGAAAAAGAAAGGCAGGGAAGAATAATCTCCTATCTCTCTTCCTCTGAACTTTATAATCATTCAGTGAGCATCTTTCTCACTTGACTCCCTACAGTGGTTCTCAACCTTCTGGCCCTTTAAATACAGTTCCTCATGTTGTGACCCAACCATAAAATTATTTTCGTTGCTACTTCATAACTGTAATGTTGCTACTGTTATAAATTGTAATGTAAATATCTGATATGCAGGATGGTCTTAGGCGATGATTAGAGATATTTAATCACCCAAGTACACATTTAAGTTGATTTGAAAAAGAAAAAAATATTTTTAAGCACACTTAAAAATGTTGATAAATATATCATTGAAATAAAAAATCTTTGTATTTTAGATAATTTAGGTCAAATTAAAATAATATTCTACATTGGTAAGCACCTGATAATAACAGAAATGTTGAGTTATCTTGTGACTGAAAAAGCAGCACAGACCTCTTGATCCCAGTACTTTCTTTCACTTCCCTTTTCCACCACCCTGATCGGGTCCACAAGCCTAGACTAGCAATTCCTGAAGTCACTCTTCTGTGGATGACTAATTCCAAGGACACTCTATAACAATAAAAGCATAATATGTATGCAGAACAACCATCAGAACGACCATGCTATGACACCCACTGGCACAAGACCAGCCAAGGCAGGTGTGATGTGATTGGTTAGAGGGCCCCACCATTGCTCCATGATCACCCCACAGAGAGAGGCCCAGGCCACTGACCAGCAGCGTGATCAATCGGGGGGGGGGGGGTTCTGTGGTTGCCCCAAAGAGGGTGACCCAGGCCACCAACCAGCAGGCTGCGGTGGGTGGATGGGGTCTCTCTCTGCGGGGCGATCAATCGTGGGGCTCCCAGACTGTGAGAGGGCACAGGCCAGGCTGAGGTACCCCCACAGCCTGAGTGCATGAATTTTGTACACCAGGCCTCTAGTTTGAAGATATTACTGTCAACCTCAACACCCCACACCCTCCCAAAAAGGTCCCAGGGTTAGAAAAGTGTAGGAAACACAGGGTTAAGCATAATTAAATAGGTGTCTTTACTGAGGAAGTGCTTAAGGCCTTTTAAATATGTTAATCTGCATTGTGCTTCCCCAAGAACACATAATATAACTTATTTAACCACAAGTCTTTTCTTTTGGGGAAATTCAGGACTACTGAATAGATTCTGCAGGGTATCCACCTCATTCCCATCTCCAAAAGCACTCCACACATTTCTACCATATTGTTTGTCCAAAGGTATTATTGTGTATATATTGCCCATCTAATCACAACTTTCAGAGGCTCCTCTAATACTTTATGAAGTCTAAATTTGGCAACCTGTCAAGATAAGACCCTTCCATTCAACTAGTCTGATCTACTCATATTTCCTAGATGGTCCCAGCCTCCACATATATCTCTCTTCCTCTGAACTTTATAATCATTCAGTGAGCATCTTTCTCACTTGACTCCCTACAGTGGTTCTCAACCTTCTGGCCCTTTAAATACAGTTCCTCTGGGTGCTATTTACATTGCATGGAGTATAATTCTAACTACTCCACTAGTCTCAGTTTTATAACAGACACAGATTCTTCTTGCATGGATCTTACCTTCAACTAGAAAGAGAGGCATAAAACAAAAAAGGGAAAAGCCTAGTGCATTTTATGGTGGTCAGTACAACAGAAACAATAGTTCCCTGCCGGAACTTAAAAGCTGCAATTTAAGTGGGAAATGGAGACAAAGGCAAGTAAAGTTTCACCAAGAAAGTGCCATGCTAGCAAGGATCAGAAACAGGAAAGGGAACACGCCATGGGGATGTTTAAGAGAAAGAATATTCTAGAAAATGGCAATAGCAAATGCAAAGACCCCAGTTGGACGTGTGCTCAGTGGATCTGGAGAACCACAGAGAAGCCAGCATGGTTGAAGCAGAGTTAGTGAGAAAAGAGAGAAAGAGTTCATGTTGGCAAGGAACATGGCGGCCAGATCATTCAGTGCTTTGAAGGCCATTAGTTGTTGCCCTGAGTGAGGTGAGAAGCCATGGAGAGTTCTGAACAGAGGAAGCACAATATTGGATTTGCAATAAAATAAAAAATATTAAAAAAATAAAAAATAAATAAATGTTTTAAAAAAAAAGCTGCAATTTAAATGGGAAATGGAGACAAAGGCAAGTAAAGTTTCACTAAGAAAGTGCCATGCTAGCAAGGATCAGAAACAGGAAAGGGAACACGCCATGGGGATGTTTAAGAGAAAGAATATTCTAGAAAATGGCAATAGCAAATGCAAAGACCCCAGTTGGACGTGTGCTCAGTGGATCTGGAGAACCACAGAGAAGCCAGCATGGTTGAAGCAGAGTTAGTGAGAAAAGAGAGAAAGAGTTCATGTTGGCAAGGAACATGGCGGCCAGATCATTCAGTGCTTTGAAGGCCATTAGCTGTTGCTCCAAGTGAGGTGAGAAGCCATGGAGGGTTCTGAACAGAGGAAGCACAATATTGGATTTGCACTGTAAGGGGGATACTTCTGGCTGTAGAGAATGGAACAAAGCAGGGGGGAGCAGGGAGTTCAGAGGCTGTGTCAGTAACCCAACTGGGGACTGGTGGTAGCTTGTGGTTGTAGCGGAGGAGCTATTGAGAAGTGGTCAGTTCTGGGTATGTTTTCTAGGCAGACCGCTCAGATTTTGCTAATGGATGAGATATGGCGTATGAAGGGAAAAACAAAATCAAGGATAACTCCAAGCTTGGGGGTCTAAGCAAATGAAGGATGGAGTTGCCATTAAATGTATATTCAAATATTTACATGCCTATGACTCACTCCTAATAATATTAATAATTTTCTAGATATTTTAGTTGCAAGTTGAAACTTGAGAAATGACATGTTTAGCACCTAGCACATAAGGTCACACATGTAGGTATGCCAATGCTCACTTAATTACAGTAATGAAATATGTGTAAGTAATAAAGCATTTTAGTGTTCTGTAAACCTGTCTCTCAAAGGACATTCTTTGCATATTACCTTGATGATAAGAGAATTTTTGCAGAAGGAAAAGTTTTATAAGCAATGGCATTAATTTAACCTGAAAAGCTGTTCACATATGGTTCTCTTGGTGAAAAACAAGTGTAATAACACAGACTTTTTACACAAAGAAAAAAAAATTCGAGTTTACTTAGAAAGTTGAAGAAGTTTGCCAAGGAAACAAGTTCTTCAGAAGTATGGCTACCTTACCTCACTAAGAGTGTCATACATTTTAACTGTGAAATTGTTCAGCTTCTAACTAAATACAGATAGATGTGAGATAGTATTGATTGTTAGGGATAAATCAATGGACCAGCAGTAAGACACAGAGAAAAACGGTTTGGCTATCGAAAGGTTTTGCTAAATTGGCATACTAAAATAAAAGAGTTGAGTGTAATTTCTAGCAAAAGTATATGTGCAATTAAAAGCCTAAATATACTTAAAGAGACAATCCAAGTTTCCTTAAAGAAATTTTACCAAAGCAAGTGCCATTTAAGTAAAAATTGCTTGTAAGTACATACACACATATACATAATTACTCAATAGTACACACACACACAGACACTACACATGCCCATGCAGTTTCCCTTTCATAGACTCATTAAAAATTTCACAGTTCTGAAACTGTGGCAAATGCATCTTGCAAGTAAGCAAAGTCAATTTCTCCAGATTTTTGCTTCTTATCTATCCAATTCCTATCATTCAAGGATTGGGAAGCCTTAGATTTTCCAACCCACAGTGGTTCTTCTGTGAGCTCACTCTCTTTATATAATTTCATTTACATGATCCATAATCACAGCTGCCCATGACATCTCTTCTCATAGCAATACTATACTTCTAACAGGCCTTTATTGTTTGTCATTTCAGTGCAACCCAAATAAATTGTGAGCATTTTGAGGGCAGAGTACATGTGTCTTCTTTTTTAGCAGCTGATAGGTAGTGGTCTAGGGCCATTATGATGCTTTATTGAACACATAAATTGCTTCAGAAATAAAATTGATAAATATAGATTCATTGTCTTCCTTTTAATTATTAAAATTATCTATCTATATATATAGAAGGATAATATGCAAAGTGTCCCCTCAGGAGTTCGACTAGGAGTTCGATTGCTCGCTATGATGTGCACTGACCACCAGGGGGTAGTGCGGAACAAAGGAAGGCTCTGGCCAGCAGCTGGCAGCCAGGGAAGGGAGGCCCCGGCTGGCAGTCAGAAGGCCCCGATCAGCCCTGATCGCCAGCCACCCCTAGGGACCCTGCCTGTGCACAAATTTCGTGCACCAGGCCTCTAGTTGGAATATAAGCTTAATAAAAAGTCATCCTTAAAATAAAGGTTTTATCTTGGGGATAAAGCCACATCTGGAAATGATCCAATCACTTAAATAAGAATTCTGAAAGAAAAATAAAAGCTATTAAGTTAAACCAGAAGATTGCTTAGACTCTTCTACTTTTTCCTAACCATGTTTATGATGTTTTCCATGCTGCTTAAATCTCAAATATATATATAACTATATATAACTGTAATTTAAAAGAATGTATTTAGTGTTATCCCAGAAAGGGGATCTACTCAAGTCCAAGAAGAGGTTCTATAGTCTTTGCCTTGAGCATCAGCCCCTAAGGAAATCTCCTGACCCAGGGCTT